TATATTCTTTATTAATACAAAATGTTCTTAAAATATTTTTTATTAATTTTCTTCTTTTTTCTATTAAATTTTCTATTGTTTCTTGTTTCACATGACTGATTTGTTGTTTTGTTTGTATATCCCCTTTGTTTTCGTCTGTTACGTGTTTTTTAATGTGTTTTCTTTGTTTATTCTTTATTACATATTGTGTATCTTGTATGGCAGTAACTGATCTGCATTACGGGGTCAAGGCCAATCCCCAAATGACTTGCAAAAGGCAAAATTATCAATGATTTTTCTAGTTTTTTTACTATATCATTGCCACTTCTGCTTTTTTTCCTCAAGTCTTTTAAGAGACTGAGTATTATTTTTAGTCTTCTTGCTTTTTCCTTAAAGCTGCAAGTCTTGTTTCCTATAGTCATTTGTGTGTTTCTGTTATTTTTTGTTGTTGTTTTGTTTTTGTATTTTTGTGTACAAAGGATCAGTGGGGAGAATTGATTTGATAATAAGTTTTTTAAAATATTTAGAATTTTTATATAATAAATATATTTTAAATAAAAATTTTTTGAATTTATTTTACTAAAAAAGGCTATATTAATAATAAAAAATTTTACTAAAAAAACTGTAGTATAAGTCTTTATTAATATTATGAATACAAAGTATCTGGGTCTGACAGCCTATCTGCAGATTTGAATATACGACTCTGCAGTATCATATGACTTATTCACTTCATCACAAGTATCTGTACATCTAATTTTTTTTAGTACCTTTTTAAAGATCAATATCTTTACTATAAATCTTTATTTTTTATTTTTTTTAAAAAAAAATTTTTTAAAAAAAGTCCTATAATTATTATAATAGTCATTTTAAACATACTATAAAATGTCAAAATTTAAAATAATAATTAAAAAAATCTGAAATTATTATAATTTTAAATAATAAAGAAATAACTAAATATCTATATGAAATCTTAAGTATTGGTTTTACAGAAAAAGAAAGATTTTGCAATAAAAATAAAAAATTATATCAAAAATTAGAAACATTACAAAAAGGAATAAACAAACAAAAAATAGAAAATTTAATAGAAAAAAGAAGAAAATTAATAAAAAATATTTTAAGAACATTTTGTATTAATAAAGAATATA